GGATCTTGTTAGCACCGTTAGCAGGTCTAGTTAGCAGCTTGATGGTATTAATGACCACAGCAGCTGTCCTCCCAAACTGCCCTCCAGAACCAGGTCTGGTAGACGGAGAACATCCAAGGTTTCCCCGTGGAACCGAATGGGTCCATAGAGTTCAGTCCATCAGGCAGGTTGAGGATCTTGTTAGAAGCGTTAGCAGGTCTAGATAGCAGCTTGATGGTATTAATGACCACAGCAGCTGTCCTCCCAAACTGCCCTCCAGAACCAGGTCTGGTTGACGGAGAACATCCAAGGTTTCCCTGTAGAACCGAGCGGGTACGTAGATTTCGGTCTGTGTAGGCAGGTGGAGGATCATGGAAACAGCCACCATGACAGGCCTGGGCCCGAGGTTGGAAGGATTGAACCACGATGGCACGATGGCATGATAGCACGATGGCATGATGGCACGATGGCATGATGGCACGATGGCATGATGGCATGACGGCATGATGGCAAGGCGGCTACACAGACAACTCGGTGAATAGCAAACTGCCATCAGGGCACTAACGGTTGGTCATTAGGCTGATGGTCCTCCTTTTGCATGTGAACAACAAGTTTTGTCTTTCACCAGCAAAATGGTTGATCCACAATGGAAATTTACCTCTGTCTCAACCCTCCTTGGCTCCACACAACACAAGACCAGTTAAAGACCTCTCCTCTGCCGATATCCACTCCACTCAACTCGGTTTATGAGACCACCTTGTTTAAGGCTCCAAATGGACTTCTTCAAGGGGCCAATTTTGACATAAGCAGACAGCCACTGTTGAATGGCCAGTGAAGCTATGTCACTGGATGATCTGTCCAACAAAACTGCAAACTGCATCTGGACTGCCACTTCCTCATCATGGTGATGGACAGCGCCACAAGAAATGAGCACATTTTCTGAGAGATATAGGAGATCATGGTGCAGCATGGCTATACCCGGACTTAGAAGCAGTGCGGAGATAAGCTAACAAAATTCAAGTCAGATTATAGGGCGATTAAGGACCACAATGGGCAGAATGGCTCAAACACAACAAGACAAGTCATGATCCCACCCACTTTGCATTGACAATCCCACCCACAGAGCAGGGAAATCTGTCAGCCCCCACTGTAGTGGCAAATCACTTACACCTGAGAAGAATTGAGAAGAGGAGAAACGAATGGAGCCGCACTTACCAATGGCAAAGTGGCTTATGTGAAGGTGCTGCTTAGAAGACTAAATTTGTTTGAAGCTCCTTAGGCTGAAGAAGTATTTTGGATAAAATATAAAATGTTTAAACAAGAAGAATCCATCCAGAGGACCTGACTCAACCTTGTTAGATTCATCTACCTGGATTATTGAGCATGCATCAGGACTCACTGCAAAATATTCTGTGCAAAGTTGTCAAGACCTGAGACTTCATCTAACACTTTCAACATTAGCAATTTGATACAACATTTAAAAAAACAACATGAATTCAGAGAGTTTGTTAATAGCAGGAAACAGCTACAGTCTGTCACTTAATAGAAGACAGCCTTGAGAATATACGGATGTGACCGCAAGATTCCCGACAATCTCACTGCTCACCCAGGACATTTTGGAAAAGACTATTGTTGTCCTGACTTTGTTTCAGGAGTTAACACAAAAAGTAAGCTCTGGTCTTGAAACACAAACACAAATATTTGAAAGAAGTATAATTGCATTTATTTGTACTCATACTAGTACTAAGTATCTGCAAGTACATCTATGCAGGTACTTGTACTCAGCTTGAAAATAATGCAGCTTTGGTGCATGCCTAGACCTGGGTTTTCAGCTCAGTTCAGAACTGTACCTGTGTCTCCCTCAGGTGGTGGACTCCAGGCTGGTGTCAGTTTTTGATGCCCGGGAGCTTGAGCTGGTCATTGCTGGCACAGTGGAGATTGACCTGAGCGACTGGAGGAACAACACGGAGTACAGAGGAGGTATGGGTCACAGGTTCTCTTTGGTTCAGCTTCTTTATGTTACTTAAACTCTGAAACAGGAATCAGAAACAGGAAACTGATCTGAAAACCCAAATCAAATCAAGATAAATCTTGTAGGTACAGTATATATATATATATATATATATATATATATATATATATATATACATACATACATATTTTTTTATTCAGTGTAGTGTGTGTCATTCAGCTGAATGTTTTTCTGTGCCCACCAGGTTACCATGACGGCCACATAGTGATGCGCTGGTTCTGGGCGGCAGTGGAGAGGTTCACCAATGAGCAGCGCCTGCGCCTGCTGCAGTTTGTCACAGGGACATCCAGTGTTCCCTATGAAGGCTTTGCAGCTCTAAGGGGGTCCAACGGCCTAAGACGCTTCTGCATTGAGAAGTGGGGCAAAGTCACATCACTACCCAGGTACCCCATTCTGGTTTGACCTGCTCATACACCACATATAATATTGCAGCCAGAAAGTGATGAATTGTAGGGATGCATGATATTGAATTTTTGGCTGATATGCCAATATGGTAAAACTTGTTCGGCCAATAACCAATATCGATACCGATATTTTTATATACTTTCCTTTGTCAGAACATAGTCCTCTTATTTAGGCTTATTTGCTACAAAAATTGTGCAACAGCTGTAAGAGCTGGTGACATATATCCAGTAACAGCCATATGATCTGCATAGCACTTTAACTTATATTAAATGAAAAATGTTAAATGTTATTTATTAGCATTATTCACCTGCAATGCTGTCTCACCTGTGGAGGCTTGTTCCAGGTTCCTAGCTGCAGTGTGGGATCCTCTGCACTCCTGTGCATGAAGGACAGCCTTAAGTTCAAAGTTTTTGTCTATCCATTGTACCGTAAGACTAATTATGCTAACGGGGCTAACACTTGATGTCCAAATGTCTGTGGTAAAACTCACCCAAGTGCTATCGGCTATTAGCTTCTCAGTGATGTAGGAAATGACGGCTTTTAATTCAGGTAAGGTTACGTCGGAAAAATATCTCTGACTGGGAACGATGTAGCGAAACTCAACGTAGTCAAAAAATCTTCGGAATCCAACATCCTCAACAAACAAAAAAAACCTTCCACACCGCCACCATTTGGACTTCTTCCTCTCCACCGTGATCAGATCAGGTCGGTGCACGTGACATCATCACGTTGCGCTGGCGCTGCAGGCATCCTTGTCACTGGGTTGTCATACAAAAACAGCACCTTTTATATCGGTGAGTTATTTTGATGAAATGGCCGATGTCCGATATTGAACTTTCTTAATATCGGCCGATACCATGCTGATAATATTGTGCAGCTCTAATGAACTGAGAAGCTAGTCAGCTGCAAGGCCAAGTCCAGGACCATTAGCACCACCCAACAGGCGGTGTCCCTTAAATGGGACACTGGTATGTCAATCATATGTAATTCTTCATTGAACAAACGGCGTCACATTTCCCATTCATTTATATTAAGCTTTCACCTTTTGAATATTAACAAATTAATTATTTATGTCTAGAATAAACATTGTTGATTTAAACGAAAATAAAATTAAAGTTTCAAAGAGAGATTCATATTTTAGATATCTACAGTCCAGTTATTATAACATTAAGTTACAAGTTGTAGTTTTGTAATATTCAAAATATGTTTTTTCCTAGACTGTCATAAATAAAATGTGATTTTCTCATATTACATATATTTTGGTTTAGTTTTTCAGATGGGTTCGTCTGATTTAACAAGCAATGCAAAAATTCCAGGTGAACTGATGTCAGTCCACATGTTACATTATGTTTCATACATTGAAATTCATTGGTCCAGTGCAGTGAAGTGGTGTGACTTTATGGAGTGAACACAAAGAGAGCGCGTTCACAGAGTGGGTGAGGGAGGGAGTTCAGCTGCTCGGTGTGAGAGCATGATTGAGGCAGAAGAAATGAGCTAGAAAGGCTGAATTTTATTCAGTAAATGGACACTGTAGGCTGCAGTAACAGTAATACAGTAGTCCCTCAGTTATCGCGGGGGGTACATTCCACACACCCCTGTTATAGGTAGTAGGAAGTAGGAACTCTATATTTATTTTAATATTTATCTACATTTTAAGGATTTATAAACTCTTCCCACACTCTTGCAATGTTCTAAACTCTTAAACCTACATAATTTTAACAACATTTGAACAAACTGAAACTGTTCAGTGATTTGTAGACATACATGAGTATTTTGAACTGGATTCGAAAGTGAACCAGTAACCAGTGCAGTGAGGCCCAAACTGGTGTAATGTGCTCTCTTTTGCCTGTACTGGTTAAAAATCGGGCTGCTGCACTCTGGACCAGTTGTAGTCGTGCAATGGAGGTCTGACTGATAACAAACAGGAGTGAATTGCAGTAATCAAGCCTAGATGTAATGAATGCATGTATTACTGTCTCCAGGTTATTTTTGGACAATTTGGGCTTCAGTTTAGACAGCCGCCTCAGTTGGAAGAAACATGATTTAACAATCATGTTTACATGACTGTTCAGTTTCAGGGAAGGGTCCATTATCACTCCCAGATTAGTGACTCTTTGTTTTTCTGACAGGGATAGAGCGGAAAGGTCGATGCAGTGGTTTGTGATTGTGTCGTTGGGAGGGAACAACATGACTTCAGACTTCTTTTCATTGAAACTTAAGAAGTTTAAAGCCATCCAGTCCCTGATGTCAGCCAGGCAGTTGAGCAGCGGTTGAATAGAGCATGTACCATTGTGTCTTAGGGGGGAAGTTAATTTGACAGTCATCGGCATAGAAGTGGAAGGGCATGTTGTGTTTCCGGAAAATAGCACCAAGCGGCAGCTGGTATAAAGAGAATAGGAGGGGACCCAGGATGGACCCCTGCGGAACCCCCCATTTAAGCTTTGCCTCTGCGGAACTAAAATCCTTGATGGAGACACAAAAGGATCTGTCAGTGAGGTAGGATCTGAACCAATTGAGGGCTGATCCTGTGACGCCCACCCATTGCTCCAACCTAGCAATGAGGGAGTAGTGAGGGACTGCTGTAAATGCTATGACTTTTCAAGCCTTCAGCCAATGAGTGGATGAAGAAGTATCGTTGATGGAGAAGTAAGCTAAGCTGTAACTTAATAACACATTTTTTACAATAAATAAATAAAATAAACTTATGTTTTCTTCCGAGTGGCTGTTGAAGTCATATACTTTATAGATTTAGCATCCCCATCTTCTCTTGTTTCTCCCCCCCATTGCTACAGGCCATTCAGTCCCTATACAAGCAGTGCAAGAGTTTAGTTCACGTTACCCGCAGTAAGTTGGATCCCTTTATTTGGGAGTTATTTTTCGCCAGCACTTCCCATGGTCACAGATTCTGTTCATAACTTTTATGGACAGATTTTCTCTGTGCAGCTGGGGGTGGAGGGAATCCCATTCGGTGGCCTCAGAATTCCATCTCTGCTATTTGCAGATGATGTGGTCCTGTTGACGTCATCATGTCATGACCTTCAACTCTTGCTGGAGTGGCTTGCAGCTGAGTGTGAAGTGACTGGGATAAGGGTCAGCACCTCCAAATCTGGGGTCATGGTACTGTCAGAAAAGGTGGATTGCTCTCTTAGGATTGGAGGTTAGGTTCTGCCACAAGTGGGGGAGTTCAAGCAGCTTGGAGTTTTGATCATGAGCGAGGGAATAATGGAGTGTGAACTTGACGTGGTGAAGGAGATGAGCTGTGAGACAAAGCTCTGTGTCGGTCTACGTTCCTAACCTCACCTATGGTCATGAACTCTGTGTAGTGATCAAAAGATCAAAATTGCAGATACAGGAGGTCAAAATGAGTTTTCTCCACAGGGTTGCTGGACAATCCCTTAGGGATAGGGTGAGAAGTTCAGTTAGCTGGGAGAAACTCAGAGTGGAGCTGATGCTCCTACATATCGAGAGGAACCAGTAGAGGTAGGTCAGGCATCAGTTTAGGTCTTTCTGGCTATGTCTCTTGGCTGGTCTGGGAACGCCTTGGAGTCCTCCCAGAAGAGCTAGAGAAGGTGTCTGGGGAAAGAAATGTCTTGGCTTCCCTGCTTAAGCTGCTGCCCTCATTACGCAACACCAGAACAAGCAAAGGATGGATGGATGGATGGATGGATGGATGGATGGATAAGTAGGCATGGCTGACAAAACTGCCTTCTTGGCCATGCACATTAATTTGCCACAAACCAATACAAACATGATATTCATCTCAGCTTGGTTTATAGTTTGGACTTGTATGCGTTTATTAAGAATGAAAACAGACCATCACCCTCTTTTTCTCTTTTTGTCTATTAGGGCTCACACCTGTTTTAACCGTCTCGACCTGCCTCCGTACCCTTCATACATCATGCTCTATGAGAAACTTCTGGTGGCTGTGGAGGAGACCAGTACGTTTGGCCTTGAGTGATGCAGAATAATCAAACATCTCTGGGCGTGGAAGATGGAAGGAGGGGGTGACATGTGAAGTGTTCAAGACAAAGTCAAGTGAAGTGGATCTCTCTTCTGGTTCTGACCGAGCAATGAAAAGTCCTCTGACTGCAACCAACATGTACGGTGTCACTGCAGGACCCAAATGGTTTTAATGTTCATCTTTATGAGATGAAAGTGAAAAACAATTAGCTTTTTAAAAAGTGCATTCTCATCTATTCAGCTACCCAAAGAAAAGGTTTTGTACACTGAACAATAGAAACGCAACACTTTTGCTTTTGCTCCCATTTTTCATGAGCTGAACTCAAAGATCTAAGTGTTTTTTATGTACATGTGCATTTAAAATTATATAGATTCATTACTCATAGAGTGAAATGTCTCAAGCCTTTGTTTCTTGTAATTTTCATGGTCACTGGTATGGCTTACAAATAATGAAAAGCCTAAATTCAGTGTTTCAGATAATTAGAATATTCCACAGCCAGCTTTTGGTGCCTTTGTCAGTGTGAGCAGGAGTCGAGTCCTGATGGAAAATAAAATCAGCATCTCCATGAAGCTCGTCAGCAGGAGGAAGCATGAAGAGCTCTGAAATGTTCTGGTAGATGCTGCGTTGACTGGACTTCAGAAAACACAGTGGATCAACACCAGCAGATGGATCCAAACCGTCACCGACTGTGGAAACTTCACTCTGGACTTCAAGCAACGTGGATTCTGGGTCTCCACTGTTCCTCCAGACTCTGGAACCTTGATTTCCAAACGACATGAAAATTAACTTTCATCTGAAAAGAAGACATTGGAGCACTGAGCAGCAGTCCATCCCTTTGTCTCTTCAGCAGGTAAGATGCTTCTGATGTTGTCTCTGGTTCAGGAGTGGCTTGACTTGAGGAATGGGACATTTGTAGCTCATGTCTAGGAGTTAATTATCCGACTACGGTGTGACATGAGGAGTTAATACTGAACCTCTTCACAATATTCTAATTTTCTGGGACACTCAGTTTTGGGTTTTTCATTATTTGTAAGCCATATTCATCAAAATAAATAAAGGCTTAACTCTATGTGTCATGAATCTATTTAATATGAGTTTCACTTTCTGAAATGATTGACCAAAAATTAACTTTTCCACCAACTTTTTTCTAGATGCATCTGTGCACAACAGGCCTTTTTCTCTCAATGTTCACAAATGTAAATCTGTGTTAGTGAGCACTTCTCCTTTGCTGAGATGATCCATCCACCTCACAGGTGTGGCATATCAAGATGCTGATTAGACAGCATGATTATCGCACAGGTGTGCCTTAGGCTGCCCACAATAAAAGGCCACTCTATAATGTTCGGTTTAATCACGCAGAACAATGCCACAGATGTCACAAGTTTTGAGAGAGCAGCAGTTGGCTTTCTGACAGCAGGAATGAGCTGTTGCCCATAAATTGAATGTTAATTTCTCTACATAAGCCACCTCCAAAGGTGTTTTTGAGAATTTGACAGTACGTCCTACCAGCCTCACACCCACAGACCACGTGTAGCCACACCAGCCCTGGAGCTCCACATTTAGCATCTTCACCTCCAAAATCGTCAGAGAGCGGCCACCTGGACAGCTGCTGCAACGATCCGTTTGCATAACCAAAGAATTTCTGCACAGACTGTCAGAAACTGTCTCAGGAAAGCTCACCTGCGTGCTCATCGTCCTCACTGGGGTCTTCACCTGACTGCAGTCGTGACTGTCTTGTGTGAGCAAATACTCATAATTGATGGCGTATGGCATGTTGGAGAGGTGGCAGACTGTGCGTATGGCAATGTGTGTGTGAGCAGGTTACTGATGGCAAATAATAAAATTTAAATAAAGAGGCTGTTGGTGGTGGTGGCATTATGGTATGGGTAGGCATATGTTATGGACATTGAACACAGGCGTGTTCCAGTTGCTGACATCTAGCAACATCACACAGCCACTGAAGACGAGTGGACCAACATTTCTGCCCCCCAGTAAAACTGTACCTTTAGAGTGGCCTTTTATTGTGGTCAGCCTAAGGCACACCTGATGTTTTAGGATGAAATATCTCAACAAAGGAGAAGTGCTCACTGACACAGACTGACACATTTGTGAACATTGAGATAAAGGCCCGTTGTGTACATGAAAAAGCTTCAGATATTTTGAGTTCATCTCATGAAAACTCGGACCAAAAACAACAATGTTGCATTTATATTTTGTTCGGTATAATAAAGCTTCTAAAACAACAGGATACTTTAATACTGAACATAAAGTACATAAACTGGAATGGGTCTACAAATAAAACTTCAATTTTATTATTATTATTAGTAGTAGTAATAGTAGCAATATTATTATTACTGTTATTAAAAATTAGTGTCTCACACTGTTAAAATGTATATTTAATACACAAAACAATCCAAGTATTGAGATAAATATGCAAACTTTAAAAAAAAAATCTAATATATAGTATAAGATGAGAATAAACTAAGAAACAAAGAACATGAATGTACAAAAGGTTTAATATTAAATGAGATTCTTAATAAGAATCTGTTACAGAGCTTAAAGTTTCACTGTCTGACAAATAAAGGGGACTAATATTAATGTTAAAGTTAGTGTGTTAAAGATACGGAAGTAACGAATCTAAAACATGTTTTATTTACAGGGAAATGTTATGGATTAGTTTCAAACTAAAGAGATAAAGATGGTCAAACACTTTATTCAGAAAGACTATCAAATGTCGAGATAAATGATAATTTACTAAAGGTAAATAAAGCCATATTCTGACTATTTTGAAGGGGGGTAATGGGAAAATATACGAACAGTTAAGGTATTTCATTGGCTGGCTGACTGTAGGGAATTAGTTGGATCCTCAAAATAGGGAAAAAACAATTTAGAGAGAAATATTTTCACACAAAGTTTTTGAACATGTTCAAAATGCAAGAGACAAAACTGCAACCCTTTGTCATCCAAGTGAAGATATTGAGAACCTTCATAAATGTTTGGAGACCTAAAGACGTCAAACGTTCACCAACTAGTTGCCAGCAGTTCCAGCCAAATGAGATACTTCCTTGAATATCTTACCCGTTTTAGCTCTTTGAAGGAGAATAAATTGGTGAAACGGAGTTCAATTGTGACAGGACTGATGGCTCTTGAGTAATTTTATTTATTAGGACCACATCAACTAGAAAGAAAACGAACTGTGCCTAAAAGAGATCCCTGAAAAGTGATGAACACTTCACGTTAACTTTGGTAATGAGGTGTGTGTGAGAGTTTGATCTTGGTTTATCATGGACTGAGGGGAGAATCCAAGTGAAGTTACTGGTGTTTTTAGAGCTGGGATGGACGATCACAAGCTGCTTTTAACTTGTGTGAAGCATCTGTATCATCAGGAAGGCCTCCGTCTCCCTTTACTTGAGTCCACGGAGGGAGCAGCAACATCACGGACAGCTCCAGCGCTCCTCATCTAACAAGCCAAGATGTCCCATCTACAAACTAACGTAGCTACCATTACAACCAAAGGGCTTCTGGGATTCCTTCAGTAGAGCAAACGCCTCATGATTTCCAGCTGAATGCTCCTGTAGACACTCTCAAGCTCCCAGCGAGCAGACTGAGGCCCCTTTTGACCTGATGGTGTTCATCTTCAAGTCTTCCACAGGTGACCTTCTGATGTGATAACTTTGGTGTTGCTCTTTGTATGGAGCTGGTACTTCAACATGTTCCCCATCACTGCATCGAACACTGGGGCTCTAAAGGTTTAAGACTGTTGGAGCGGCTTCCTAAATCAGTCGTGCTTTTCTGTGCAGAAAGACTTGTGGACAAACAGTGTCGTCTATGTAACTTCTGCTACCAGGTTACTGTGCCTCCATCACTTACTGCCTCACATGTGCAGCTTCTGTAGGCTCACTGGGTTCAAACCTGGCGTACGTGTTGAGCTCAGATGTTGTTTTTCTTAATTTTTCTCATTGTTTCATCACAAGCCAGTTGGGTTTGACACTCACTGAGTGAGTTTTATACTTCATGAGGGGTGGATGGGGTTGGAAACTGTTGAGAAAGACTGAAACCAAAAAAAATGGAAACTTTTTCTCCAGATGCCCTGTGTTAGATACTTGGTCTGAAACGTGTTCGTTACGTCCACATATCTGGGCCATCAACATTATTAGAATAGATGAAGTGACTCCTTCATTGATCAAAATTTGAGCCAAAATGCTAATATGTTGTTATTTTGGAGCCAGAGGCTACGCACTAGAGATGTGGGGATAAAGCTTAGACACAAAAGTCCCGGCTACACACCCTCCCAACAAGCCGTGACATTTAACATGACACTTACCTTAAAGCATCGAAAACGAATTAATACGAAACGTATCTAACATAAATGCATATTTAAAAATACAGCAAGTTTTGTAAATCATCAAAAATCAACAGCTTCAAAAGATTATCTAAGGTGTATTTTTTATTATTTATTCAAGAAAATGTCCCATTTGTTTAAATGTAGGGACGAGACCTGAACATTGTACTTCAGCCAGCCTCGAGGAGGCACTCGCCCACTGTGGCTTCAACTTCACACTTCTGATCCGGTCACTGGTTTTAGTTGCAATGAAATACTGCCTGTCAGAAGATAACATTTAACTAGAGTTTATTTATAACAAAAAGCATTCTGTTCTGGAAAGTTCACGCTCAATAATCCAGGTAAAAACTCCAACAAAGTTCAGTCAGGTCATCTGGACGGTTTCTTTGTTTTTGTTGAGACGTTTTGTCCTTCATCCAAAGGACTTTGTCAATCCGAGCTAAGATCCCCATCTTATCACCAGCAAACTGGTTGGTCCACTATGGGAGTGTGCTGCTTGTGGGACTGAGTTTGTTTGTGGCTCCTTGGATTGATGAAGTCCTTTGGATGAAGGACGAAACGTCTCAACCACAAAATAAACCATCCAGATGACCTGAATGAACTTTGTTGCATTTTGTTCTTGCTTTACATTTTCATTGGCCACCACCAATTTTACATGTTAAAAATCAACATTTTGGCTAC